CAATGCCAGGGGGGGGTGAGGTCCCCCCCCCCCCCTTGACGCAAGCTGAGTCATAGTGCTTATTGAGATAGGACTTGAGGGCGAAGGGCTTGCTGCAAGAAGGGGGGGTCACCCATGGGTGGGGTATGGCATGAGCCTGGGGCTCCCATGTAAGGTGGGGTTGTCCTGATCTGGGGGTGCACCAAGAGCCCTGATGCCCATGTTACAAGGGGTCATTGTGATCTGTGGGTGCACCAGGACACCATGCAAAGAGTGGGGTCATCCTGATTTTGGGTTGCACCAGGACACTCACGTGCAGGGGGGGGTCATCCTGATCTTGGGATGCATCAGGACACCCATGAATGAGTGGGGTCACCATGGTTTTGGGGTGCACCAAGAGCCAGGACACCCATGTACAGGGGGGGCCATCCTGATCTGGGGGTGCACCAGGACACCCACCCCACCCAGGATCCCCATCCCAGCATCCTTGGCCTCACTCCAGGTACCACGGCTGGGAGCAGAACTTGGGGTACGTCCGTTGGGTGCATCCATTGGGTTCCAAGGTGGGTTCTGTGCTGGGTGCTGAGTTCTGGGGTGCCCCCATCAATTCCAGAGAGGGCTAAGGGGTACCCCCCCCTTGAAGCAAGCTGGCTCGTAGTGCTTATTGAGATAGGACTTGAGGGCGAAGGGCTTGCTGCAAGGGGGTGGGTGACCCTAATGTTGAGGTGCATCACATCCCCATGAGACCCACCCAAGGGGGGGGGTCCCCATGGTTTTGGGGTGCACCAAGAGCCAGGACACCCATGTACAGGGGGGTCATCCTGATCTGGGGGTGCACCAGGGCACCCACCCCACCCAGCGTCCCCATCCCAGCATCCTTGGGCTCACCCTGGATACCGTGTCCAGGAGAAAAACTCAGGGTGCATTCGTTGGGTGCATCCGTTGGGTGCATCCATTGGGTGCCAAGGTGTGTGTTGTTGGGTTCTATGCTGGGTACTGAGTTCTGGGGTGCCCCCATCAGTTCTGGAGGGGACTGAGGGGTGCCCCCCCCTTGAAGCAAGCCAACTGGTAGTGCTTATTGAGATAGGACTTGAGGGTGAAGGTCTTGCTGCAAGGGGGGGGTCACCCTGACTTTGGGGTGCACCACAGTGCCAAGATACCCAAACAAGGGGGAAGTCACCATGGTTTTGGGATGCACCAAGAGCCAGTACACCCATGTACAGGGGGGTCAACTTGATCTGTGGGTGCCCCAGGACACTCACACAATGTGAGGGTCATCCTGATTTTGGGGTGCAGCGGGACACCCATCCAAGTGTGGTCACCTTGGTCTTGGTGTGTACCAAGAGCAAGACACCCATGCAAAGGGGTTTCACCATGGTTTTGGGGTGCACCAAGAGTCAGGATGCCCATGTACAGGGGGGTCATTGTGATGTTGGGGTGCCCCACAACCCCATGATACCCATCCAAGGGGGATCATCCCACCCAGCATCCCCATCCCTGCATCCGCATCCCAGCATCCATGTGCTCACCCCGGGTACCATGTCCAGGAGAACTTGGGGGTGCATCCATTGGGTGCCAAGGTGGGTGCCGAGTTCTGGGGTCCCCCCAAGTACCCCATCAATTCCGGAGAGGGCTGAGGGGCGCCCCCCCCTTGAAGCAAGCTGACTCATAGTGCTTATTGAGATAGGACTTGAGGGCGAAGGTCTTGCTGCAGCGCTTGCACTGGAAGTGCTTGTAGGCGGAGTGGGTCTGCATGTGAGCGCGCAGGTTGGAGCGGTCGGCGAAGGCTTTGCCGCAGTGGGCGCAGCCGAAGGGCTTCTCGCCGGTGTGGGAGCGCATGTGGCCCTGCAGCAGCCAGGGCCGGCTGAAGGCTTTGCCGCACACGTCGCACTTGTGCTTCAGGTCGTGCGTCAGGAGGTGCATGGCCATGGCCGGCATGGACACGTAGACTTTCCCGCACGTCGGGCATTTCTTCGCCATTTTACTGTCCAGGCTGCGGTGGGTTTGCTTGTGCCGGCTCAGGTTGGACGAGGTGGCGTAGGTTTTGCCGCATTCCCCGCACGTGTGACGCGGGGGGGTCCGCGGCGTC